ATCTAAACTGGTTCCCCAATTCCCCTCCGAGTGACTCGAACTCGGGACATGGTACACGCCAAGTGAGGGTACAATAGTCCCAAGTTTGTTAACCCAACTATGCTTATAGGTACTGTTTAATTTTTTGTCTTTATAAATAGCTATTACATTTTCCTTTGTTGTTTTAATTATATCAATCAATTATTTTTTTATTATTATTGTTGTTATTATTATTATTTTGAAGATATAATCGTTAGAATAGTCATGTACCATAATGTGCAAACTACCATCTTCAAAAGGTGTTGACAAGAGATTTGTTGACGTACTCCTCCAAGGCTTCAATTTACTAATGAAGAATCATCTATTAAGTCATGGACAATTGTATGTGGCACGATCTAGAGTCATCAGTCGGAGGAGTTTGAAGATAATAATTTGTGTTGATGGAGATTGTGACGATAGAAAAACCACGAACGTTGTATATAAAGAAATATTTAATAATATTTAGATATTATTTCTTATTTTGTTTCAATGATTATGTTATTATTTTTATATTTGTTTTTTTTTTTACTTTATTCTCTTCTATCATATAGTTTTCCGTGCAAATGCACGGGCCAAAAACTAGTAGTCATAAACTTGGCAGGTTTATATTTTTAAACCTTTCACAAACCTCCCACTAAAATGCCCTAAATTCAAAAAAAAATGTCAGTCGAAGATGAAATTAAAAAAGAGAGTTACAAACCTATCCTTTGAAGTTAGGAGTACTTATTTAATGTTTTGAAAAAAACAAAGTTCGAAACATTTAAACAAGTAGCAATCAAGTTTCCTCTAGTTCCTTTTTTTTTCTCCCTATTTATTTAAGTTATCTGAATTCACTATTTGTAAATTTTGGAAACGAGATTGTTTATGTAATGCCCCGTTTATTTGTAATTTATTTAGGATTATTTATTATTGCATTTATTTTTATTATTTATCCAATTGTCTTATATGCTTATTATTATTATTATTATTAAATGTCTAAGCATTGTGTATTATATATATATATATACATGTTGTCCGATTATTTTATTTTATCATTCGTTCGGCGGTTTTCGATTTAATTGCGTAGTGTTAAACTCGAACCGTTACCATTATTTCCTTGAGCTATTTTTACGGGTTTGGAGTCAGTAGCCCAATTCCTACTTGTCAATCTCGGCCCAAATTGTTCCAAGATTTCGGCCCCTTAAATTTCCCAGCCCAAATGTGTTAAATTCCGACCCAATTGAATTGATCTTTTGGATTATATATCGACCCATAAAAATTTGTGTATCAGCTTTGGCCCAATTGCAATATTTTTCTAGCCATTGAATTACAGCCCAAATATTTATATTTGGTCCATTTGATTATTTTAAAACTTGGCCCAAGAAGATTAGTTATTTTGTAGCCCATCTCCTTCTTGTGCGAGCAGCCCTCTCTCTCTCGCATCTCCAGAACAAGTCACATATGAACGAATTTCCCCCTTCTCTCGGGAAAATTTTATAACCGCTCCTTTTTTACAATGATTTTACAAATTAGTTGTAAGCCACACACAATACCCAATTTACTCCTAACACTAGACAAAAATAGGTAGACACACAGAAAATAAATAAATAAATAAATAAATAAAAATAAAAATTAAATAAAAAGGCGATATTAACTGTCTAGTGTAATTAACTGTTCTCTCTCATTTTTTTTT